CACGCCGCGCAACATTTGTCACTATGCTGTAAGTTAGGCAAGACGCAGACTGCCGACGCCTAATTAGGCGGCGGATGTCATAACTATTAATCTCGCCATTTACGTACGTGTATATTATACGTGGTGGAGCCACGCTGCAGCTATATTATGGTTTGAGCACGAATAGGTCGGCTCGACCGGGGTAGAACCACGGTCTCACAGAATACCGGCATAAATTAGCAGTGCAAAGCTGCTGTGTTTCGTATGATAAGTAAAGCGAACCGGCGACCCTTTTTTTTCATATAAAAGCTTTTAGAAAAATTTACTTCGCAAATATCCGCGTTATAAAATAAAATGATGTGTCTTATCTAGTATGAAGAGCACCTCCCGCCCTCCCTCAATTACGTGCACTATCCCCGTCACCACGTTTATTGCGATTTCCGCAAAGTAACGCCTGATTCTATTAGTTAATTAGAAGTTAGACCCTTTTTATACTAGAAACGAGGCATTCCATCTTAGTCCTCAGGGATGCATCTGCATTTTTATTTTAAATCGAGAATAGATGTAGATGGCTATGGGCTGCAGCAACCACTTACCATCTGGTGGACTGTGTGCTCGTTTGTCAGCCTATCCTTTAAAAAATACTAGCAATGCTACGAACATTATTAATATTTGATATAACCACTCCTGGTAAGTTTAAAACGCTTGTGTTAGGGGTGGTTCACGACAGTAATCGAATAGCGAATTCGAACCCTTAAACGACCGTTTAATCGCAATCCGCGTATTAGGCTATTGTCGCTTCTGCATTACTATAATTTATTTTTTCAAGCACCTATATATTCACATTTCTACCGACTTCAAAATGAGGAAGCACTCAATTCGACTGTATGTTCTTTTTTATGTTTGTTACCTTATAACTTTGTTCTACGTGAACCGATTTCGATGATTCTTTTTTTTATTTGAAAGCTGATGCTTCTCGTGTGGTCGCATATGAATAAATTTGATCAAGGTCTGACCAGTAGTTTTTGAATTATCCTTATAATAATATATATTAAAGTCGATTGTACAAATGTTTTAATTTTTAATTATAGATATACGAGTGTACGAGTACACATAAGCTAAGCCTAAAAGCGTTCCTATACAAACAAAAAAATATAAAATTTGGACCGAATTCGTTAATCGTTTGTGAATTTTGTGAAAAGTGCTTCTGATGCGAATCCGAGTAAATACGATCGTCGATTGTACACTTGAGATTCGAAAGCTTCGGACATTCTGATGCTGTTCTACATACGGCGTTTACGTCTTTCATTATGTGTCGCCTTAATTGATGTCAACTTTTAGCACCTCTATACTTACAACGACGCAGGAGAAATAAAGATTAAGGGAAAGGATACGATACACCAACAGTGTGTTGTGGCGGTGTATGAATATCCACTACCCCATATCATCCGGTATAAGTCGTAAGAGGCGACGGAGGGAAACTGAGACAGGAGATGGGCAGCAGCATCTTCCTGATAACGACTCAAAATAAAAAAACTGCGATTGCCAGTCCACCTGCCAAGTGTGGCAACTATGGCAAAATCCCTCCTACGAAACAATCTATGGCGAAGGCCGATGTTCAGCAGTGGACTCTTATAGGCTGCAATGAAACATCAACACCACTACCACGCAGGTGATATGATGAAAATAGTAGTTACTTCAGTTTACAAATTATTACATTTTAAACTAGATATATTCTAGACTTCGTAAAATGGATCGTATACTTACATCCGAATGTACTAGTACTAATTTTTATGAGGGTAGCGCACCTAATACAAATATTACTTGATTGTCTCAAGAGTCTAGTGATCGTAAACGCGTTTGCCATGAGTTCCCGGGTTCGGATCTCCCGTGGTCGGACCAAAACCAAAAAGTGTAAAGAAAGTAATTCTCAGTAGCAGTTTTTACGTGGTAGAGCCATACTACAGCTACATTACTGGTATAGTTGTAGCACGAATGGGTCAGCTCGAACGGGAAAAGACCACGCTCTCACAGAATACCAGCGTAAAATAGCAGCATAATGCTGCTGTGTTTCGTATGGTAAGTGTAAAGAACCGGAGACCCTTTTTACTGGAAACGAGGTATTCAATCTTAGTCCTCACGGGTGACAACAGATCTGCATTTTAATTCTTCATCGAGGATAGATGTAGATGCCTATGGGCTACAGCAACCACTTACCATCATCAAGTGGACTGTGTGCTCGTTTGTCATCCTTATCGTATAAAAAATAGCAGCCAAACATTATTGTTTGTGTACCTTATTGAATACAATAAATAAAATAAAATAGAATTATGTTCAAGTAGCAACTCGTACGATAATATATCTAGCTGCAGTGCAGGGCAGTATCACATCGGCCCGGTTCGAGCGAGCGTCGTGACTCGTAACCGTTTGAATGCGCCGCGCCGCGCCGGCGATGTTGCAACCCAATCTAATTAATTCTCTGCGCGAAGCAGATTGAACTTGAAATTATGACGCTCAGTCACAACATAGAATTGACGGCTCCGTGGCGCAATGTCTTAGCAAGGAGTTACAGCGCTAAGTGCCGCGGGTTCGAATTCCGGATGGAACAAGTATTTGTATGGCCTACAAATAATTCTTCGGGGTCTGGTTGTTTGTCCTTGTAAAATTTATGAATATAAACTGCCTGCACGATAAAGGAGAAAATCCTCGTGTGGAGGTAACGTATTTTTAAAACGGAAAGGAAATAATCGACATTACCTGGCATTCACAGATTAAATGGTCCGTTTATTTACAGTTTTAGGACCTTGCCAAATAAAAATCAGTAGTCACTGCTTACCTCTTTGGCTGACAGGCGTGAGTGCTTATGATACACTTCTCACAAAAATTAAGAGAGCAAAAAAATCGAATTTAAGTCTAAGTAATATAAATCTAAGTCAAAAATGGTCTTTTAGGCCATATTTTCAAGCACCACGGTTTCAACACAATCCGAAGAAGTAACGCGGAATAAAAATTCCCACTCGTTCTGGCTCCACGGGCTCGAAAATTTTTTTTTTTTGGTTAAACGGCCATATAGACCAGTTGGCCTGTTTATTCAGCTTCAATTTTTTTTTCTATTTTTTTCCTTATCCGATATTATCGAGATATCCGATATTGAATGGAAACAGTCCCTTTTATGTTCAACTACTGATATCTCAGCAAGCAATGGTTTTACAAAAATAGAAGGACGGTTTCAAAAACTGAAAATCCTGTCAAGATAATTGGTAAAAAAAATTCTTTTCTCAATATCGACTTGAAAAAAGTTGAATTTTTTTTCCGTGTTTTGATAAACGATACTTATGTCGTCGCCCCTAAAGACTAAGATGGAATGCCTCGTTTCCAGTAAATAGAGTCTCCGGTTCTCTACACCACCATATGAAACGCATCAGCATTAAGCTTTCACGCTAGTATTCTGTGAGAGTGTGGTCCTGTTGGGCAGATCCATTCGTGCTACAATAATAATATAGCTGCAGCGTGGCTCTACCACGTATGTAAATGTAATATAAAAATAAATGCCGAGCGTTTAGCCCATAATCCATAATATATCACGGCACAAAGCAAAAACACTTTTAGATTGTGCTTCACGCTTGCGGTATTGGATGCGGACTAATGTTATGTAAACGCTAGTGTTGATATAACTTGTTTGCTTAAACCGATTTTTGACAGTGACCCGCCGCCCGCAATGGTGTTAACAGCACGATACCGTTATGACCCACAAGCGACTGTGGCCCAAATTCTCCGATCGCTAACTTGAGATAACTGTGTCGAATAAAGACATATTTATTCGATTATTTTTATTAGATTATTCGTAGATGTTGTGTTGTTTTCATAGACAGTTGCAATATGCAACTTGTGAATACTGTCGCAAGTTAAAAATGTCATATTTAAAAAAATATTGTATCTAGAGGTCCCTTCCACAATTGCGTGCGCGAGTATGTTCAAAATTTAAAGTCTACCTCATCGGGAAGTCAGTTTAAAATCAATTTCTGAATTCAACCAGAACAGACATACACGAATCCGAGTTAATATAAACGTGGTAAAATATTGCCATTGTTTCATGAGATTTAAGAAAAGTCTCCGTAATTTCATGGCAGTTTTTCTCTGAGAACGACTTGTGTTACAAACGGTGTATTATAATATTAACGTTCTAATTAGCTCTAATTGCTTCACAAAGTTATATTCAATAAAATGTTATGACTTTGACCTTGAAAAATGTTACGCTGTTGCGTTAAGATTGAAGACAGGTTTGAATATAACTCTTTACCTCATTTTGAAACGGTTCAAAGCTTTTAATTTATTAAAGAATGACTATTAAACACCTATAACACAGTTTGACAAATAACTGTGACCGAAATTCGGTGTGGAGGACATCATTATTATATGTAGTAGAGCCAAGCTGCAGCTTTATTACGGTTGTTAGCATAAATGAGTCGGTTCGACCTAGAGAGGACCACGCTTTTACAGAATACCAGTGTAAAATAGCACCTCATTGCTGTTGTATTTAGTATTGTATGGTGAGTGTAGAGAACCGGTGCCCCTTTTTACTGGAAACCAGGCATTCGGTTTTAATCCTAAGGGGTGACAACGCATCGGCATTTTAATTCTTAATCGAAGATGCCACAAGCGTCCACTTACCATTAGGTGGACTTTGTGCTCGTTTGTCACCCTAGTCTATTTAAAAAATAATCAAGTACCTACCTATCTCTTTTGTACTATGTTATAACAAGAAACCTGGTGGGAGCAATCATAATAGAAATAACATCGGTCCATGCCCACAGAAGTGAACTGCAGCGTCTCTTTCACGGTGCGATTAATTCTTAATCGAGTATAGATGCAGATGTCCATGGGCCACAGCAACCACTTACCATCAGGTGGACTGTGTGCTCGTTAGTCACCGTTATTCTATAAAAATCTAGTACTATGTTTTAACTAGGAACCTGATGGGAACCCATCACAATAGAACTAACATCGGTCCTTGTCCACAGGAGTGAACTGCAGCGTGTCGTCTACGGTGCGTTACTGGCAGGCGAGCTGGTGGGGCGCGCCGGTGCGCGAGCTGCACCAGACGCTGTGGGGCACGCTGCCGGAAATCCTCGCCTCCAAGCACTTCAATTTCACCAAGTAAGTTCTAACATACCGATGCCTCTTGACAATAAACTTACTACATCCTGTATTTGTACCGGTTAAATCCTTGTGAACATAAAATTCTATAATGCACTTTTTATTTATGTGGCGTATTATTATTATTATTCAGCTCAATTTGGCTTTTGTCCATAGAAAACACCACTTTTGTATGGAGATGCGTACGCTACCCTTTTCGCCTCTAGTCAGCTTTCGCGGCAATCAGGCATAAAATAAGGGCAAATGTGCTTCTATCATATGAGGCGGCGCCACAAGCGAAACTCATCGAAGCCTAAATCGCGCTAACAAAGTTCTAAAGTTAAAGGAGTATTACCACCCGGAGCGTTGTTGTCCTCAAGTACCTCAAGTACCTCCCGAGCAGATATAGTCTGCAGTCTTAAAATTCGGCAAGCCATATAGCTTTTACAAAGGTTCATCGCAGCACTGGAATAATAATGCTTCCTGTTCCTTTAAGCTACTCTCTGCGCTACAGTGTTCGGCACGGCTCTGAGCCTTACTGCTCGCCTCTGCTTCACGGCACTCTCGCAGATTACTTGCCTTCTTCTCGACTCACCGCAGACTACAAGGCAATTTCTTCATTCATTAAACGTGGTAGTGCCGTGCTGCAGCTGTATTACTGGTATAGTTGTGGCACGAATTGGTCGGCTCGACCGGGGAAGGTCTACGCTCTCACAGAATACCACGTAAAATAGCAGCTTAACGCTGCTGTGTTTCGTATGGTAAGTGTGGAGAACCGGAGACCCTTTTTACTGGAAACGAGGCCTTCCATCTTAGTCCTCACAGGTGACAACGCATCTGCATTTTGATTCGTAATCGAGAATAGATGTAGATGTCTATGGGCTACAGCAACCACTTACCATCAAGTGGACTGTGTGCTCGTTTGTCACCTTTATCTTATAAAAAAAAAATTCCCTGGCACTTGCATATTCATCGACATCTAGACTGCACTATCGACCTCCGTTCTAAATAGGGGGTGATGTGTGTGGGGGGGGGGGGGATTCATCAAAGCCTAAATCGCGTTATCAAAGTTCGGAAATAAACGCAGTAAAATGTATAGATTAGCTCCGAACTACCACTCGGACAAAGCGTTGGCCGCTCCCCGGGCCGATCACTTTGCCCGGCTGTAGATCTCCCCTTTTCCTTTCATGGCCAAAATATGCGCGCAAAAGCCAGAGTTCAGCGCTGTTTCACCTCATTCAGCGCTGTTCCACCACCTTCAGCGCTGTTTTGCGCCTTCAGCGAATCATTACTTAAACAAAATGTAAATGCGTGTACAAAGAATTTTGCATTTCATAAAGTATCATCAAAAGATATTGTAAAATATTTTAAAACTATTGATGTTAAGAAAACTGCGGATCTGTGGGGGATTTCCGTTAAAGTTATTGCGTCTATAATAGATACAATCGCGCCTCATTTAGCTATTATTTTTAATACTAGTATCGAATCTGGTGTGTTTCCTGATTTAATGAAGTATAGTAAAGTAATACCTTTATTTAAATCTGGTGTACATTAGACCCCGGCAATTTTAGACCTATTTCTGTACTACCAACACTTAGTAAGATTTTTGAAAAAATTATTCTTGATCAAATGTTAAATTTCTTTTATATAAATAGTTTACTTCATAAAAATCAATTTGGTTTCACAAGGAGTCGCTCGACAACTTATGCCGGTGTTGAGCTGATTAAATATATATATTTAATACATAGGAGAATTCATAGGATGCTTTGGGTATATTTTGTGACCTATCCAAAGCCTTCGATTGTGTTCACCATGAAACATTAATCAGGAAACTTCAACACTACGGTGTAAGAAGTGATGCTCTTAAATTAATTATTTCATATTTAAGTAAGAGAACGCAAAAAGTTGTCATTAACAATATGAGCTCTTCCGGATCGATGGTACAAATGGGCGTGCCTCAAGGCTCAATTCTCGGCCCCTTTCTGTTTCTTGTATACATTAATGACTTACCTTACATAGTAGGGGATAACCATGATATAGTATTATTTGCAGATGACACTTCTTTAATTTTCAAATTAAGTCGACAATTGCTAAAATATGACGAAGTAAATAATGCTATATCTAAATTAGTAAATTGGTTCAATATTAATAATTTGCATTTAAATGGCACTAAAACGAGATGTATGATATTTATGACTCCAAATGTCAAACAATTAAATACTAATGTAATTTTAAATGGGGAGAAAGTGAGTCTTGTAGATACCACCATTTTACTTGGAATCACACTAGAGCCCTCATATATCAAAACTAGCAAGCAGACTTAGTTCTGCAGCATATGCCGTAAAAAAGATTTCTAACTAGTGTTGAAACAGCTAGACTAGTTTACTTTAGCTGTTTCCATAGCATAATATCTTATGGTATTTTGCTATGGGGACACGCAGCTGACACTGAAATTATATTTGTTTTACAGAAGAGGGCCATAAGAGCAATTTATGATTTAAAGCCTAAAGAGTCGCTGCGATAAAAATTTAAGGAAATTAATATATTAACTTTGGCCTCTCAATACATTTATGAAAATGTAATGTACGTACACAAAAATAAAAGTAGTTTTACAAAAATAAGTGATATTCATTCTGTAAATACTAGGAACAGACACAAGCTAGTAGTACCAGTTACTCGACTCCATCGAGTCAGTAATTCATTCTTGGGGCGATGTATACGCTTTTGCAACAAAATTCCAGAAAATATACAAAATTTGACCTGCTCAAAGTTTAAAAACTTTATTAAACTAAGTTTGTATAAAAAGGGTTATTATAATATTAAGGAATTTATGGATGATAATAACCCCTGGAAATGAGGTGATCGCTACCAAGCTATTTCTAATTTGTTGTGTTGTTAATTTGTGTAACATCATGATTGTAAGCTGTTATTTAAAAAAAAAGTCCCGCTGGGTTTCATGCTGGTTCTTCCCAGGATAGAGGTTTTTTTTTCGAACCAGTAGTAATTATACAAAAGAGTGACTTTCAATAAGTATTATTTATAATCTATATTGAATAAAAAAGTTTCTGTTTCTTCGGATTGTCCATGTTGAGTGCAAAATGCTACATGAAAGAAGTTGTATTTTGCACTCAACATGGACAGTCGTAATAGTACCATGAACATATAATCGCTTCTCAGTCATCCAGCGCTGTACGCGCCAGATAGACTCGTGTCAGCGGAGATAGTACGAGGCCTTTTATTATCGTACGATGCTGTATGCGGCTGATAAAACTGTATGAGTGTAACCAAAATCATCCAGCCAAACGGGAATGGAACTGAACAAATGTAGTTACTCCCTTAGACATTTACATGCTAGTAATAAAGAAGTATTGGTTTACTTCGTAAGTCATTATGACAATTCAGGAACAGCAAATACTCACGCTAACCCTTTAGCTTTAGTGGAAAATGTCTTGGGACTCACTTTTGGTGTAAACCCGCTAGTAAAATGTGGATACATGGAATATACCTCATGGGCTTTAGCTATTCAATGTACTACAATCTTTATCTATTTGTATATGGATGTACAATACACAACACAGGGTATACATATAAACACTACATAAGGCATGCATTCAAACCATATTTTCCTTAAGTTCCATTACAGCCTATAAAAGTCCACTGCTGAACGTAGACCTCCAACATAGATTGCCTCATAGGCATATTTGCCATAGTTTACACGCATTGCGAGCTGTTTGTCAACCCCAGTATTTTGTTATCAGGTAGATGCTGTTGCCCATCTCCTGGTTCAATTTCCCTCTATCGCCTCTTACGACACCCACGGGACGATATGGGGTAGTGGATATTCTTACACCGCCACTGCATGGTATTTTTAAAACGCTTTTATTAGCTTGGTATATATCTATGTAACAGGGAATTTTTGAATGTGATTTTCATCCCCGTCATAACGTCGGATTGATTTGATACTTCGCACACTTATCAAGGACCGATGACAATGCAATAATTTAAACAGTCAGCCCCAGTATCCTTGCGAGGATCGTGAGGATTTGCGAATAATTCATAAAACAAGTACGATTTCTGCCAGGTCAATCTACTGTAAGCCGCGTATCATAAAATATCTCAAAAAGCACGCCACGCTTTTTTTACATTAAAATGTTTTATTTTATTTTATGTTAATCACTATTTTCTTATTTTATACTTATTGAAAATTATTTTCTACTTTTTAATTCGGTTGTCTACAAAAGCGTGTTTGTTAGAAGAGTTCCTCAACCCCTGACACACTCAAACACTCACCAATGACATTATCAAATTAGCAATTATAAATTGAATTAAACTATTTCTACGGATTTTATCGCGTTTAATTAACTTATATTAATATTCCCGACGTTTCGGTTGCTTTCCAGCAACCGTGGTCACGAGGCACTGAGGTGATTGACCTCCCGATGTCAGTGTTAAACCGGAGTACCTTCAGCTTTATTAATTAATAATTTTGGTCCGATTTACGCAGAATGAACTAACTGGGTCTTGAAGTCTTGCAGTGGTATGCTTGGGTTTAGTTTTAATTTTATGAATTACAGGATCCCAAGCAGGTGGTAGTACCCAGCCTCCCTCTCTATTGAAATTGGGATGTTTTTTAATTACAATAGCCTCACGTATCATCCTTGGCAGGAATCGATGTTCTTTCGCGATAATTTGTGGTTTATCAAATCTAATGTAATGGCGGGGGCCGTCTAGGATATGATCACAAACTGCAGACTTCCCGGAACGTTGGTGCTTCACGTCAGCTATGTGTTCTTTTACGCGGGTTTTTATTGATCGTTTTGTTTGCCCTATATATGAGAGACCACACTCACAATCAAGCTTGTACACTCCTGCATCTTGTAGAGGAATATTGCACTTGACGGATGGTAAGAACTGACTAATCTTCTTCGGCGGCTTGAAGAATGTTCTAATAGAAGCTCGCTTCAAGATGTAGCCAATCTTGTCTGTGACACCTCTGACATACGGTAGTACAGTAAAAATAG